TATACAAATACATATACAAATATACTGTAGCGTGACGCACCCAACACGCGGAACAGCCATCGGAGAAGAAGCTTCGGAATATCCGTCTGGGTACAGTATCGCCGGAATATTATAATCGGTTATTGTAAGACTGCAAGTGCAAATGATTGTAAAGTGTGTGTAAGCGAGCGAACAGAATAAACTCGCTATATCAAACCACGGCGTGAACTTATTTGTAGCGTGACGCACCCAACACGCTACATTGGTGTCAGAAGTGGGATTAGAACTTACACACGTGAGCGAAAGGAATAAATTCGCTATATTGGGACAACGGCGTGAACTTATTTGTGGCGTGACACACAAACACGTTACAATACATATATATATATACATATAAAAACATATACAAATGTTCGGCCGACTGTCTAATCCCATATTTAATGTTACCTTCATTCTTGCTGTTTAGTATTACGTAACAGAACCATTCCACGGCGTAATTTAGCGTACCTAGAGCTACCCTTCCTATATATACACACACACACACACTTTTTTTTCTTCATATTCAACGCTATAAGCCTCGCTGTTTTATCTCCAAAACGTTGTACCGCCTACGCTAAGAGAATCCTCTATACATGCCTTACTAATTCATAGTCGTTATTCCACATCATGCAGAGCTGACACTGGAAAATCAACAGCAACACTGTTTGTATAAATGACTAAACATCTCTGCCAACCATCCGGTCTGTATTAACTGCAGAAAAGCTGGTAGAACGGCGGCGGAGAAACGAGTTGAGGCACGTGCCCTGATATTGGTTGTCTTCTGGGTAAACTATTGTTGCTTCGTGGAGATTATCACTTGTTATTAGTGATTAAAGACGGGGTTTGGATTGGTAATTGGATTTATTAACCACCTACAGGTCGTAACTACGAATAATTGTTACACTATTTCTGATTTGCACAATTTACAATCACTCCACACTAATCTTCTCAGTCTATTTCCACCAGTCTTCACTATCCGTTTCCTAGCAACGGCTTTATAACACAGAAACTACAGGAGATGGGTAAAACTATGGAAACACCCAACAAGAAAAAACACATTACCGTGACTAATATGGTGTAGGACAACCTCTGGCNCCTCAGTCTGTTTCCACTAGTCTTCACTATCCGTTTCCTAACAACGGATTTATAACACAGAAACTACAGGAGATGGACAAAAATATGGAAACACCCAAAAAAAAAACACATTACCGTGACTAATATGGTGTAGGACAACCTCTGGCTTGCAGAACTGCTTGCAGTCTCCTTGGAAGGAATAAATAGAGGTCCTGTGTCATTTACAAGGGAATCTTCTATCATTCTTCCCGAAAAACATGGTAAGTTCTGTTATCGATGATGGAAGTGGATAGCGCGCACGCGGATTGCTCTCCAAAACAGACCACAAAGGCTCAATAATATTGTTATCTGGCGATTGTGGGGGCCATGACAGACGTGACACTTCATATTCCTTCTCAGAAAACCAGTCCTGGACGATGTGAGTTGTGTGAACACAGGCATTGTTGGCTTGGTAAATGGCATCACCATTAGGGAACAAAGTTTGCACCATGGGATGGAAATGGTCATCAAAAATAGTCACATAGTCGTTGGCAGTGACGTGACCTTGCAGGGTAATGATGGGTCCGACAGAATACCATGATATGGCTGCCCATACCATGATCGAACCCCCGCATATGTTTCACTCTTGGCAGCAAACAATCTGGATCATAAGCTTGGGATGGCGTTCTCCAGACGTAAACTCGGCCAGAAGTCGGAAACAGTGTGAAGGTGGACTCATCCGACCAAATGACCGTCTTCCATTGCTCCATAGTCCAGGTTTTATGACTTCGGCACCACACTCTCCTCTTAGTGGCATTTTGATCACTGATGAGTGGCATTGGAATTGCAGCTCTTCCAGAATTACCCTGCTTGTGGAGTTCCCTTCGTACTGTTTTGGTGCTGACAGGGTTTGTGAGCGTGACATTCGTTCAGCAGTCACTTCTGAAGCTGCAGTCTTCTTACTTTTCATCAAAATCCTACGCAATGTTCGTCTGTCTCGATCACTCAACACACATTTCCGTCCACGCTGGTGTTTATCGGGTGCGGTTGTTTCAATCCTCCTGTATGCGGTCATAATCTTGGATACTGTGCCTCGCGAAACACCAAAAACCTCGGCTACCTTGGTTAAGGAAGCACCCGCCATATGGGCCCCAACAATTTGCCAGCGTTCGAATTCTGTTAGCTCTGACGTGATGCACTAAAAACTGCACAGAACACTGTCTCGACAACAAATAAAGCTTGCAGCGTATTGCGGAGGTTGTACAGGTAGTGGTGTTGGGCAGATACGACAGCGTGACCTACAAACGTCGCTAAAATAAACACTTCAATTCAGGCATGCATTTCACGAGGTGTTTCCATGTTTTTGTCCATCCCCTGTATAAAGGTCTCACTAAATGACACACTCCCAATATCGATGTACTACGGCACCTGTAACGTCACACACCAAGTCTTCTACTTCTTCTTCTGGCCATATTGTTGTTCCCTTGAAACTTCGGAACTCAAGTGAAGTCAATTCCAAATTCAGAGTCACATTGCGACTGAGTCAGTCAGTCGGTAAGTCTTGATTTCGCGCCACATCTGGAGCTCATGACCAGATATTCATTACTGTTTGACAGTTACGGTTTTGATTTTGTGGGGCGCCCTCCCTGACGAGAGGACGGGTCTGTCTTTTGTATATGCCACTGGGCCTTGCCAGCGTAGTCTTTCTCGGGTCCGAGTCCTTATGGACTCGTGACCATATTTTACTGTCTCGGATTTGAGACTACTTCTTTTTTCGTGGCCTCGTACGACTCGCAGGGTCAAGGTGGAGGTATTCGACACAGCTTCCATGCGGGGGAAGTGAATTCCCATTTCCGTATTTTCTTATATCCTCTCGGCACAGACCACCACATTGTTGCGTTTTGGACCGTGTTTACAGAGCTGTTGTCTGGCCACGCGTTGATCAAATACTTTACAATATGAATGAGCTAATAATCTGAGAACTATTCCGTCAGAAGTAACGAAGGGTTTCAAAAATGTAAACTTGAAATTTCAAACATAATTTATTGTCTTGCGGCTTAACGTCACTATATAGTTTTCAACCCCCTGGGTTCTAGTCTCGATGAGATTAATTTCTTCAATTGACCTAATCCTTCCAACCGCACTGTGGTCCTGGGACCGGCTCAGCCTCTAACAGAAATGAGTACCAGGAATCTTCCTGGGGGTAAATGGTGGCCGCAGCATAAGGCTGACAACCTCATCGCCATCTGTGATTCGATTGTCTAGAGAATGTGGAAGCATCGACATCTCACAACCTTATGGGCCTCGATGACCTTTTTACAGGAATAGCTTTATTTTATTTTACGTTTTTTTAACTATTTTTTTGAAATGGTTCTTTAAAGTAAGAACACATTGCATTCGTTAGACATATCTTTATATCTTATTAGAAGTATCTGGCATATTAGCGTAAGCTGATTTTGTTAAGACGGAACAGCAATGCCATCGTTACTCAAGTGTTCCATTTATTGGGAGGTACTTGAAGTAATGCTCTGATCTGATTGCTTAAGATAACAACACAATCCTTTCATTAGTCATACTATTGTTTCCCCAAAGAAAGCTGAATTACGACAAATTACTGCAAAGTTCTGTATATTTTCACACTTAAATCACTGCTTTTTCTTCGTAGTAAAGACAAAGATAATGGGCCGACTCATTATATACGCGTGGAAAATCAAGAGGAAATCCTGTTACTTTTGTGCAGTTTTTATTTCCAGACAGTTGAAAAGGAAAGTAGAGATTCTTGTACTCAGCTAATAATTTCAACTTTGAAAATGATTCTGAGTACCCAGAGAGATATGAAAGAGAAGCGGCGTCACGTCTAGAATAACTTTTTAATTTTCGTGTTTAATTTCATTTTTGAGATGATAACAACTGCGCACTCTCAGTAGAACATTAACGTGTCACAAATTGCATCCAGACGTACCATGACTTGTGCCGGAAAGTAATGAACATCATTTTAATCAAACCAGAATTAAGAAGAGCAAATGTCTTACGAGTAGATCAGAACACATAATAAAACTTAGAATATTATATTTAAGCATCCTGTTACACTCTATACGATATATGATATAAATTCCGTCCTAAGTGCAACAATTATTGTAGAAAACTTAGAAAACTGGTGGCATTTCGTAACATGTTAATTTCTTTTATGGTGACGGGATTCTACCCCCCTACCAGCTTCCAGACTAGAGAATCACCCCCCCACCACCACCACCATGGCTGTCTGCGGCTGCTTATTTATCATCTTTTTTCAGTTGACCTAATCCTTCCAGCCTCACTGTGGCCCTGGGTTCGACTCAACCTCTAACAGAAATTAATACCAGGTATCTCCCTGGGGGGTAATGGGAGACCGACGCGTAAGGCTGACACCTCACCGCCATCTGTGGGCCGATTGTCAAGAGAAAATGTAGTAGCCTCGACGCCTCACACCCCTATGGGCCTTCGCGGCCCTTTACAGGGATAGCTCTTACTAAGCTTACCGGAGTCATTCTTGAGAACCTAACAGCCACCCATCTAATTAAACGTTCCATGCCATTTATGGAACGTAAATATTCGCGGCAGTTTGAAACAGTCCACCTCTGGTTGTAGTCCCAGCCAGGGAAATTGAATCCATGTTCTCATACCTTATTCCTTAAGACTTGCTCCATTGTTGTTATTGTCATTATTATTATTATCTGTCTGTAATTATCCTTGTAGCTGTTGACTCGGCACATACGTAAGTAATAGAGAATTGAATTATTATTATTATTATTATCATCATCATCATAATACCATCTACCTCACCGTAGCGTCACAGCACCTTTGTATCTTCAATGAATACACATTACAGCCAAAGCAAATACCATATGCTCATGTTGCTGACTCTCTGCGTGCTCTGGTATGTGCAGATTATGGACGACAGGTGGGAGAGTGAAGTGATTGAATACGGAGCCATCAACATTACAGGATTCAGGATTGTGGACTCATCAAGACGATATGTAAAGGATTTCCTGGAAGGATGGAGGAAACTTGACCCGACCATCTCTCAAGGAGCAGGTCGGGAGTCGATTTCGGTATGTTTTCTGGCAGTTTGACAAACCTCGTTTTGTCGCCACGGAGTAAACCTCAACTTCTGCAGGCAGAGCAACGTTTCACGTGTCCTCACCTTCCCACCACTTATCCTAGATCCCCACGTACAGACTTTCCTTAATAATGAAAATATTATTTACTTCATTTGTACTTGTCTGCGTGGGTTTAAATTCTAAATGTGTTAACTCACAAGTTCTTCTCTTCGCTGCTCATGATATGGGAAGGACATGAGACACTGAAGGGGGGTGGGGAGATAAAAAGTGCAAGCAAAGTTTTAACTGGAAATCCTAAAGATAAGATAAGCACTTGAAAGGCCTTGGTTAAATGGAAGAATAATATTAAAGTGCATCTTAAAAGAGGTAAAATGTGAGGATGTAGATAAAATTCATGTGGCTCAGAATTTGCAGTGGTGTTCTTTTGAAGTTGGTATTTGATTTTCGGATTTTATAAAAAGCGACGATTTACCTGATAATCTGAGACTTCGCTAGCAAACTCTGTAAACACAAGCAGTCATGACTTCTGAAGAACCCAGCAACACAAATTTGATAAGCTCTAAGTAGTTTACAATTTAGCCATAAAATGGCAGGACCTCCTTGACAGAGATGAAGAGAAATGTATACAGTTGTGTACAATCAAATTTAATGCCAACAAAATTAGTTTGTGCTGTACTGCTGTACTACTCGTATGACTATAAAATTATTGTACACAACTGTGACCACCAGGTCTGATCACTTCGTGACCACAAGAGCCCACCACTGATCTTAATTGGCATCCTGAATAATTAAGTCCACACTCTTCATCAAATTTCCTTAAGATCCATTTTACTAGTATCCTCACATCCACTGTTAAATAATTCAAATATTCTCTGCACTTCAAGTTAAACACGTACGCGTAAGTACCCCTTAAATTCTTTGCATCTGTATTTCTCAAACGACACGCACATTGCGAATATGATGCCAAGATTTCTCTTTCACCATAAACAGAGAGGAGATCCTTGAGTTGCCTGCTACACGTGTGATTTTTTTCACAGGCCCAAGCAGCACTCATGTACGATGCAGTGTTTGTGTTAGTCGAGGCCTTCAACAAGATTCTGAAAAAGAAGCCGGACACATTTCGAACAAATTTCCGGCGAGGTCAGATATTCAACAACGGAAGCCGAGGTATCGACTGTAACACAAGCCAAGGCTGGGTCACACCGTGGGAACACGGCGATAAGATCTCTCGCCATCTTAGAAAGGTATGGATCACAAACAGCTATGGGTCCGGATACCCAGCAAAGCTACAACAAAACGGAGCTTGTGTAACAAATTCGGAATCTAGAACAATCAAATTTTAGTTAACGTCGATAATGACAATTACATAAAAATTACCTGCGTCGTTGTGGGAATGGAATTCTAGAAAATATCTAGCAGTTCCTTTTGTTCCTTGAGGACATCATGGTACGTCAGGATGGTAATGTTATTTGGAAATATGAATCTATAGGTGATCAGTTCTATAGAGCGATTGTTACAGTTGTGGTATATGTTACAGTTTTCTTGTAGTATTCTATCACCGTAACAACAAAAGAGTACAACTGGAACATATGAGAACACTGAAACCTAATTTTAACATAAATCCACACTAAAGAATTTAATGAAAAACTTATCAGTAGTTCTGTAGATAGAACTCGGGCAGTTCTTGTCATTACCTGCAGGTAAATAGCGAACCATGAAGGAAACTCTTCGGGCAATAGAACACAAATAATATGGACAAGGAATACACTTTTTTCCCCTTGCTCCCACTTTGGAGCATAGGACAGATTTCTCAGTTTCTTGATGATTCACAGACAGTAGGACTCCTTGGACGGGTGATCAGCTCGTCGCAATGCCCCTACCTGTACACAAACACAGAAAAACACACACATAAAAATCCATGCCCCGAGTGGGATTCGAAATTACGATCCCGGTTTCCGAGCGAGCGAAGACAGTACATGACTTAGACCGATCGGCTACCGTGACCGGCGGAATATACATTACTATAGCAAAAATTCTTCCTACTAGAACACATTCTGGGTCTATTGAAACCAAATTTTGTGTGCAGATTTACAATACTGAATTTCATGGATCATTCTGTAGATGGAAGCGTTAGATATGTCCAGAATTTCGGGTAAAACTGCAGACTTAAGGGTGAGAGACAGGAAGTAAGAGAGACTGTTCAAAGCGATGTTTCGTGAAACTGTGTCACGGTATTATTTAGCAAGTGGATGTTTCTTTCGTAACGCCGACGTCATCTTAACTTCCTGATCAGATTCTAGCATTCCCTATCCGTAGAGAAAAAGAAGTTAAATTATAAATCTCAGATTTTTAGAATAAAGAGAGGAAGGTAAGATATACTAAAGAGATTTCCGTGTTTCATCTTAGAGAATTTCGCTCCGTTTCTCAATAACAAACCCACACGCATTACGTCACAGTCCGCCTGTCTTCGCGGCTTCCTGTTGCACCTGTAAAATCTCGCGAAGTTGATCATGTCTTCTTAGTGTAAAAGCAGTGACGAGAGAAAATGATATGCCTCATTAAATTTAGATGGACCTACGTATTTGTCACAATCCACGATCTTATTCGGTATCTCAAAAATACGGAGGTTTTCCTGTAGAGTGGCTCCACGTAAGGGAACAGGAAGTTTGCGTTGGTGAATTACATTTCAGAGGCTTCAGCCCCGAGACCGTTTCGTTATCCTTAAAATAAAACGTATTGCCTGTGGACTATGTCGTTAGGGTTTCTGCTGATGCCGTGCAAAAGCGTACATCTTCTCAAGATCTCCTCTGAAGGTTCGTAAGCCAGGAAAACTCGTAGCTTCAAGCCAATTCTTCATGAAAGAATAGCGTTGCCCGCAAGATCATAAGATCTCTGTTTCGGCAGAAGGCAGTTTGTTTTCAGACTCAGTGGGATGGGAAGAGAGAGATTTGTTCCCTTTAATCACGATCCTGTGTGGAAAGCGGCTGATGTCCAGTGGTGTGAGCCAGGGGCCCAGCTCTGTACGTGCTGGTATCTGCAGCAGAGATCGCGCAAGGGGATCATCAGATGTGAGAAGTGCGGGTCGGTGAGACTGAGCTGTATTAAGCACTGAGTGGTTGCAACTCGTGACATTTTGTTCAGGAGAACAAATTAGAGACCATGACAGTTATGAATTGTTTCAATGTTTCTACATATTACCCACACTCGCGGGAGTTACTATGGCCGTTAATCAAAACTATAGAATAGCAAATTTTAATGTAAAATGGAGTAGAATTATGTTTCAACCCCACGGATTATAATAGCGTCTTGCTTAATTTCTCTTTATTAATATCTCAGACTCCAATCTAACGGAGAATGTGTAGATGAACACTTTATATGCCTACTGTAAGGGAAGTCTAATGGTAAGATTTTGTCTGTAGTATAGTGTACCTTCAAACAATCTGAGGCATTAGGTACTAATGTCTACCTTTATACCTACGTAACAGAGTAACTAACTGCGTCTCTATTCACGGGACCGAAACAAATATAAACATGAATATATCTAATTGTATTATTATTGTTATTAATGTGAACTAATTAATCACTCCACCTCTCTTCTTTTTGCTGATGAAGTGTTCAACGAGATCCCTAACACGGCGACTTCGATGTTCATCTTATGTTTAAAACAGAAACCAGTAACTTTATGAAGAGTTCTATCTTACGGGGCATAACGCCGGGTATTCCGTTGAAAGTCAACCGACGTTTCGATGAAAATCACCTCCATCTTCATGTTCAAAGAATAAGCCGAGCAAGAAATAAGCGTGAAACTAGGTGGAAAGCAGATGTCATCTGTTCCTCCGAAACGTCGATTAACTTTCAACGAGCTCTATGACATTATATGCTAGAAGATATCACTCTTCGTAATCACCACTGTGAGAGCCTTAAATCCTACATAGTAACTTTCTAATCACGACGTAACGATCAGGTTCTTTATCTGATTATGCCGCACCCACAAAGATGCTTCAGACTTCAGTAGCACGGCCCTGGTTCAAACCTTCGCCGACTCCCATTCAAGAGAGAAAGAAGAACGTGTGGAGTTTATGAGCCCTCGAGGCACACATCTAACCTCAATTTCCTATATATTTTTTTAACCCTGTGAAGCGCAATAGTCACTGAATGTACCGCCCGCTTTAACATCAGAAACGTCGCATTTTCCCCAAACAGAGTATTTATATTTCATATAATTATCACAATAAAGAGTGGTCATTTCTGTGAACAGTATTAACAGGCTGGTTTTCATAATGCGGAAGTAGTGTCTTCTGTGAAGTCGGAATTGCATTTTTAAATATTTAAAATTATTTTTACCACAATTTCGGGCTTCAAATGTTAACAAAAAACATAAACGCACATAACTATAAAGCATTTCTACTTAGCGATATGGCTTTCCGTCTAGTTCTAGTCGAATCCTTTTTAAATTGAAGGCTTCACTGCAATAGGCACTGGTTGACTCTTAGATAATTGTAAGACTCTGTTCTAAATGAAGACGTTCCATAAGAGTGAATGAGACTGAATAATGAAATGAATAACACGGTGGCAATGGTTTTAGAGGGAAGTTTTATGTGACTCATTTGAATATAATACATCAGCGTTTGAAGAGTTATATCTTCTTGGACATAACACCGAGTATTCCGGCAAAGTCAACTGAAATTACAGAAGATCGTATTGCCTCCGTATTTAGAGTCGAAAACTAAGTCATTTATAGTAGTACTGCCTGCTTCATGCTGGTTTCTTGCTTAGATAACCCTTCAACCCTGAAGATATTGGCGATATGTTCCTCCGAATCGTCGGTTGACTTTCATTTGACTACATGACGTTACATGCCAAAGTCACGGCGGTGTGCACCTCAAATTCAACTCATAGCATTTGCCAGAATGTGAGGAACGTCAAGGCTGGCGCACATTAAGACTGGGTGCCTATGGACTAGAAGCATTACGCTAACTCAGCCCACTCGGTTTGTTGTGATACTGCTTCTATATTTGCTAAAGATTTCTTCAAAGTAAAAGAATGAGTTGATGGCTTATTTTGAAATCTAATAGTGGGAATAATATTGTAGCTAAATATTATTAGTGTTGCCCAAAATTCAGATTACACTGAATTTAGGTAGTAAAACAAATAACTCTCTGATCAGCCTTGTACAGTGCTTAGGAGGTGCATGACGGATGGTGCTAAGAAACGGGCAAATTACCTCAATCTATTTACCCACGGTTTACTTAACCATACCCTCAGTGTTTTAGTCTGTATAGTGTCGAATTGTAGAATGACAGTGAATAATGAATTGAAAGCCGGTCACGGTAGCCGAGCGGTCTAAGGCATGCACTGTCTTCGCTCGCTTGGAAACCGGGATCGTGGGTTTGAATCCCACTCAGGGCATGGATGTTTAGTTTGTGTGTGTGCGTTTTTCTGTGTTTGTGTACAGGTAGAGGCCTTGAGAGGAGCTGATCACCCGCTCAAGGAGTCCTACCGAATGTGTAAGATCTAGAAAAACCGAAGTGAAAGGAGAAGTTCATGGGAGGTAGGCCTAGACCCACTGGGGCTGTAGTGCCAAGGGAAAAAAAAATGAATTGAAAAGGAAGTTCATGTAATCAGGCATGGCCTAATTTCAGGTACTATCCAGGAATTTGCCTCAGGGAAAGGGCTGAAGGAAGTAATGAAAAACCTTAGGATAATCGGTGTCCGGGCCGAGATCACAGCCGGACAACAACAAGCATTGACGCCTGAGCGAAATCCTTCCGTTCACCTTCATACACACTCAGTATCCTGTGCTCTCCATTTCAACCCTCTCCCCGCATATAAATATCATTAGAACTAGCTGTATAAAGTATTAGCCCACAGCGAAGCGTTGCGCCTCATGTTTGCTTTAGAAACAGTTATCCTGACTAATTTTGCAGTCATTTGGCGTCACACTGAACTTCAAAGTCACTTCGTTGAGGCGGAGACCCTTAAGATTCGAGCCTCTGTCTACTACTATCAGACCCTGGGGCTTCGTCGTATCATCTGCAGAACATTTATGGTTTTCTCACAAGCCTCCTTTTGTCTGTCAGTGCCTGTTCTAGAACAAGTAAAAGGAATGAAAACCTCTTTAAATTTTCGTTTCACTACTGCATCAATTCATCAGACTAAATACATCAAAACACGTAAGTAGACAGTGAAGAAAGCAGTCTTCTGGGATTTGGCACCGTGTATATGTGGTGTTAACCGACGTTTCGGAGGAACGTATCGCCNGTAGACAGTTTGGAAATGCAGTGCAGACTCGTCTGGGGGCTCAATCCTCCAACTTCACAGAACCCATGGATCCTATTCTGTCCTCAGCATTGCGATTATTCCTCTGTTGTTGTGTCCACTCCCGAATTCCTAGAGCATTAACTGAAGATTGAAGGGGAACACATTCTGAGAGACATAACCTGACCACATACATACGCACACATAGGGCCACCATCCCGGGTATGCTCTTCCTCCAAATTTAATTCGTCAGTAGATAAAAGAAAGGGAAAGAAGTGTTAGTCGGCCACTTGCAACGAATGATCGATAAGTCAGCTATGACGTCATGAGCACCCCGCCTCGTTATGCAGGCTAGTGCGAATTTTCGAAAATAAGAAGTAATTTGGTGCTCGAAAGAACAGAGAATGATAACAAGCTAAGATGAGTAGGACTGCAATGCCGCTCATTTTTCTATAATTTTCTTCCACACAGGTGGCACCAAAGTCAGTTAACTGCTTATTAAAACGTGTAATAAAATTTGTTATTGCTTATTAAAGTTACTGTTCAAAATGAGATCTTCCATGTTAAATGCTCAGCTTACAACGCCACAATACTCTTCTACAATTCACTCACACATTTAAATCCGAATATTTCCTTTTAATACAAGGGAAAGTTATAGGTTAATTGACTTCGGGGGTGGGGGTAATATGCACAATCATGGAGTCGACAAGTGTGTGACAGTAGCATCACAGACTGGTCTGTTGCGGTTCCCAGACTCACGAGTGATCATAATAGTTCCTCTTGCAACATAAATTTCTTTTTTAATTCTATACTTTCTCCAAATTGAAATTGTCATGATCTACAGTTGGTTCATGTTATTTCTCTACTCTCCGTTGCTTTTCTTTCTTATTGCTAGTGGGGTGGGACTAAGTCCCTTGTACTGCGGTCACTTCTGGCCTATTGTACCGGCCCCAGATGATAGGTGAGGGTGATTGTGGAGCAATTGGTGGAATGAAGATTGACAGGGGAAACCGAAGTACTTGTAGAAAACCTGCCCAAACGCCAACTTTGTCCACCACAAATCCCACTTGACCAGACCCGGGATTAAACCCGGGCCGCCGCGGTGGGAAGCCAGCGAATAACTCCTTGAGCTATGGCGTGGCCTTCCGTTGTGTTAGAATGCATTACTCAGTAGCGTATCTAAATCCCAACTGTTAACTATTGTGACAGGAGCCCAAAACAGCTTTCGTTGTGCCCTTCTGTCTCCCAGCCAAGTTCCGAATGATGAGTGATTTCCCATAGGAACAATAGTGTTCTCTCCCCTTCGCAGCAATGGGGTTCAACCTGAGGGATACAGCACACGCATAACTGAATTTGAACTTTATATTACAATTTTTGAAACCGAAATATTCTTACCTGATTAGAAATATGAGATAGCTTAAATTAAAACCGTGAAGGAATTCTTTACATTTTCGAAAAAGAATTCAGTGTTAAAGCCACGCAATCTCACGGCCGTGCGGGTCTGGTGTTATTTACTACCGGTCCCATGGAAACTATATTTTTTGATTCCCTACGTATGAACGTGTGGGTATGCATTAGAAACTTTCCAAACGTCCTTCCCTGCTGCAAGAATGCAGCAAAAACTGCGGAATGGACGTACAATATCGCCTCTGTGCAGGCATACATTTTCCTCATACCTAGGAAATTGCCTCAAGCAGATGTTTCCAGTTTGTATTCAGGACGTCCCTGGGACCATGACTTCTTTGACAGAGGCTTGTTCGTGGTTTTCCTGACATCCCCCGCGTAAAATTCCAGAATAATAACTTGAAATTAGGCCAATTGTTACTGTATTTATTACCCTGTATAGTCTGTGTTACTGATATTGTCATGCAATAGACCACAACAACATACATGTTGCTTAAGCAGCCCTAACTCCCGGAGAGGTTAAAGTATTGCTCATTGCTTGGGAATTAAAGAGCAATAGAAGGGATTTTTCTGGGGTAATATGTTTGCAAATGTGACAAGGCATTGAGCAGGGCTTTCTAAAGTCCTTAAGAGGAGTAAGAAGATGTCAGAAATTGTAAATTACAAAATGCCTACACTCCAAAAAGTTTTCCGTCGTTTAATAACAACAACAACAACAACAACAACAACAACAACAGACGGCAGATACCGCGAACGTCACGCACTGTTATTGGGCGCTAATCCGAATCACTTCAACAAGCTTCATGTCCGTAAAACCAATTTCTTAGAGTCCGGTTTATGTTGCTTTCCCACTCTGTTCTCAACTGCGTTCCCGTACATTCAGCCCATAGCTGACCGTGCGTCACATACTTGACAACAGAGGAACGGCACAAGTTGGGAAGATTTTATGAGCACTGGGCACGATCTGGAAACATGCTGCTTCTCTTCATGAACTGAATTTGGGCCTAATTCTCAGTTCATTTTCATCACTTCCTTATAGGTCAATCTGTGTTAAGAGCTACAAATACGTGCTTCGTAATGGACTATCAAAACGACAGTTTGAGTAGTTAATGGACTTAAACTCTACCGAGGAGACTGGGCATTTCATCGTCTATACAGTGAAGAAATGAAGGCTGAACTACAAATTCTGAGCTCTAAGTTAGTATAGGCAGTAATTTCCTTGCAGTGGATGTTGTGTGAGCCGACCACAGTGACCGTGCGGTCTAAGGCATGAACCGTCTTCGCCCGCTCGAATACTGGGGTCAAGGTTTCGAATCCCACAGCATGGATGTCTATGTGTGTTCATACTGTGTAGATCGCGACCTTGCGACGAGCTGATCCCCCACCCAAGGAGTCCTACCGATTATGTATAGATTAAGAAACTGAAAAAAGGGGTCAAGTTTCACAAGGGCTGTAGAGCCACAGATAGATAGATAAATAGATAGATAGACAGACAGACAGACAGATAGATAGATGTAGATAGATGGATACTATGTGAAAGATCCTTCTTATATTACGCAGTATCATTTACTGCTTTGCAGATGGAGTTGTTACACTGTCGATAGGGCCCCGTGCTGTGAACACGCTGCAGCACACCTGTTAATGGCTACATCTTTTTGCAGGTGGAGCTGGAAGGACTGACAGGAGAGATACGTTTCAATGATGACGGCAGACGGCAGAACTACACGCTACATGTCGTGGAAATGACATTCAACAGTGCCATGGTCAAAGTAAGCATACACAGATGTTTGCTCACTCAAATATCTAGATGATGCTTGCATAGGAGCAGCTTTCATTTTGCGGAATATCTTCGGTTTACTCGCGTCTCCGAATATACGAGGTGCTTCCAAGGAATTATTATGCGTCCTTGTTAATTACGAATCAGAAATTAAACGCAAAGAGAAAAGTTAAGAAAAAAGAGGGCTGGGAGGAAAAATGACATCACACAGACATTTAATAGGATCTTACCTGTTCAAGAGATATCTGGTTTCTTACCGAACCAGAAATTTAATCATCTCCAAAACAAATTCCGGAAATGAGCTGGTGATATGGTTGACAATTATGACTTCACAAATAACCGATAGAGTTCAGTCGATTCTATAGGACTTCATCAGTCTTCCGATTAAAATATATAGATAGTCAAGAGGAGTTGTTTTAATAGCAAACAAACTTTAGATGCCTGTTATAATCGTCCCGGATGGCACCCTTCATCCAACAGGTTGTCTGTTACTGTAACACTAATTAACTCTCGCGAACCTGTTATGATGTCAGAGTAATATTCTGAAATAAAATGTAAGATAAAAATGACGAATGAGACTCAAGTCATTATAATTTTTATTCCTTAACTTCATAATTTTAAGATTTATTATTACGGTGGTTGAATTTCCTCTTGGAAGGACGATACACGTATATACATAATATCAATACGCATTTTGGTGAATTATCGAATACACTTCAACATTTGTCTTTTCGAAATTTATCCACAAATATTAAGTACGTTCGTTCAGTTCACTTTAAGGAAATTTAATGCCATCAATAAAAAATTTCTCAACCTGAAAATTGCAGCTGATAATTTATTTGCATCTATTAGCAATGAAACAGCATAGTATTTTGGCACAGTTTTGCCAGAATTTAAATTTAAAGCCTCTTGAGAACAAAGAAAACAGCATGGAACATCTGCTGTTGAATACCAGTCCCGTCTCGCCTGTTACCCGGCAACTTTTAGCTGCAACTCAAAGAGTGTATGTTCCCAGGTAGCCGAGTGGACTGACGAGTTCGGTTTCAGTCCAGTGGCAGCCAAGTACGTGAGACTCAAGCCAGGATCTGAGATAGAGAAAAATCGGACTTACATTGTGACAACCATAGTGGTAAGTACCACCTCAGAAACTACTAATAATTCCTCTTGGCATCATAGGATACGCGTAAATAAGGACATGCATATGTCCATATACCAATTACGTAGGAGACCTGAATGACTTGTAATTTTGAAGAATTAATACTTTTAGGAGCCGGGATAGCTAAGTCGGTATAGCGAATGACTACGGGCAGGATGACCGTGTGGTCGGAGTTCGAGTCCCGTTAGGGCCAAGAATTTTCTCTTCTGCACGTTGTCCCTCTCCGGTGTCCACCTAAACTCCTATCCCCGGGGGTAAAGCGGCCGGGGCGTGAAGCTGACCACTCAACTCCGGCTAGGACTGAGGTCAAGAAAACTTGGATCTATACATCCACTCCCCCATACACCTACATGGCGTAGTGCTCAATTGGTTAAGCACAGGGACAACTTTATTTTTTACTTAATACTTTAGAAACTGTGACACATTCAAACGTAAACTATCTTGAATTCTACAATTCCATGTACAGCAATCACTCATTTGTCATCAGACTTATCAGAATCGATATGATTGTAATTTCGTTTCAAAGTCCTTATGGTGTGTAATCGAGAGCAGTCTGTTTGAAACCCAGTAATATTGATTATAATGATCGATATTCGAGGAATTTTACTCTCTGCCATAAAATACACAAAGAGGCATGATAGCGAAGCCAAGGATAAAAAGAAGGAATAAAAGAAGAAAACTCGAGACAGGAGACATGCCACATCAGAATTATTTACCAAAAACAGTCTTAGAAAATTACAATGCAGTAAGTACTTGCTGGAATACGTATAAAATAGTGATGCATTATTATTAAGGAGCAAATTGAATACTTTCGAGTTTTGCACACGTTTCTACAGATAAATCCCCCACTTACTGTTGCCACGTTTCCGTCACTAGCGCGAAGCGGGACGTCCAAGTTCTAGGCACCTTAAGATGCTTGTGTGTGGCATTCGAAAAGGAAAATTAAAGTTTCTTCTTCTGAGTTATGACGTCGTGCAGTCTGGCAGAGGGTTAATAATGTTTCAATAAGAAAAAAAACTGTTGCCTCAATCCTCAAGGAGAATTCAGCAGGCATTTAATTTCAGTATTCAACCTGCAGAACCCCATTCTTTACGAATATGCAAAACACACACAAAAACAACACAAGGTATTTTCCGTTTACCCGAGCACAATTGTTTGGCTCTTAGCTCATATAATGACGCTGTTTCAATAAGAAATGTAGAATGGAATAAGAATATCATGGCTATGAGCTGAGAAGGATTCAAAAGTAGTCGGTTTTAACCAGTTTCGAGGCAATAGCCAAGCAATCGTCTGGAGAAATTGCATGAAATAATTCAGAACCTCAGTAAGGGAAATCGGTGATCCGACGAGGATAGTGAACCGCTACCGACCAGATGTAATTTAAGGACGTTTCGGCCATACGGACCTGTTAGGTACGGAGCAAAATCACCTACATATATTCGTGTTTCTGTGGTATCGGTAAGTGTCTCACAGGGAGACATTCAAAAGTTGTTAACCAGGAGATCGTGAAGCCCCTGCAACTGGCCTGGCTCCGACAATCAATCTTCCAAAGAAGGTAGTGACGAAAGTGGGACTGGTCCGTCTTGTTGAACAATGATGGATGACTAGAGCTCGAAGGAAAACAAACTGTTGTAAGTATCGCGATAGCAATCAGCGGCTTTGACTTTCTAATACGCCATGTAACTTCTGATTCCAGTAGCTACGTTTATTCAGATCCATTTACGATCCCTTGCCCTATTTGTGACCGAAGGCCTAAAATATGTAAGAGTTTAAATTCTACCTGTTACTTCAAACCAATTTGGGTGTGGAACTTGACCGCCCATTCACAGTGAGAGAGAAAAATTCTGAGGAGAATATCTGAAAAAAAAAAAAAAAAAAGANAAAAAAAAGATTAACAGGAGACTGGAGAAAAATACGTATACGGCCAATTTAGACGAGTATATTTGGGCCTAAGAAATATGGGAACATTTTAGAAAATTACGTAATAAGTAGCATCTAGAGCACTATTTCAAACTAAGAAAAATGTGAAAGATGTGAAAAATTGCGTAATGAGAAATATTTGAAGCGGAGTACAAAAGTGTTGCTGAAGAAGGAATGTTACTATGTTCACCGTGGGTTTTACGAATCGGAGTTTAATTTTGCCTGTTACTTCAAACCAATGTGGGTGTGAAACTTGACCTCCCATTCACAACAAGAAAGAAACATTCAGAGGAGAATATCTGAAAAAAAATAAGACGTAACAAGATACTGGAGAAAATTATGTATAAGCACAATCTAGAAGAGTATATTTGGACGTAATGTGAAAGAAATATCAGAAAATTTGAGAAAATTACGTAATAAGTAACATCTAGAGCACTATTTGAAACTAAGAAGAAATGTGGAAAAATGGGGAAAATTACATAATGAGAAATATGTAAAGCAGAGTAGAAAAGTATGGTTAAAGAAGAAATATTACGACGTTCAGTGGTGGTTTTGTGGATCGAAAAGAAAGTGTATTGGCTACGGAATATATTAGAAAAAGGAGATACATATAATATGAAAGGAGGCAACAAAACAAAATACACTGATTTGACTGCGAGACTGAAATGCATAATATAAAAAGGGGTTTACAAACATGCAAATAATCCTAATTCCTAAAGAAACTTCGACTCCATGTGAGTTCAGAATTCGAATGTGGCCCGAAGTTTCTTTATCATGCCGTAGACCCTATGACTTACTAACGTTGCACACAGTATCCTGATTTGTAAAGCTGTCTGTCAATTTCGATGCAGGAGCTGAATATATAGTGGCTAACAGGTCGTAATTCAGAGGATGAATTCTTATCCCGGTAGGATCTATCCATCGTTCGAATCAACTACGTTTCTGAGATTTCCTGTACTTCCAATTTCAGGTATCCAGGATAGGAATTGTTATCCTGCACCAGTCTTAACCCTCTGAATATGTTTCACGACTACAATATAATTCTGTGGTAACAGATCCCAGAGTTCAACATTGTTAATACCATAATCGGCTGTTTTTCTTTAAATTGCATTTGCTTGTATAGCTAATACAATACTCTTCACAAATATTCGACAGTTCATGTTAGAGGCATGTGGATGTAGCCAGTGCCCAAAGAATCCGGCTTTAGGGCGCACACTTAAACTTGACTGCTCTCGATTCGACGTTTAAACTTCGTGTTTTGATATCTACTTTAACTTCAAACCAGACACCCTATTACAATCTGAAATGGAAATACTGTACTCATATGTGTAATACTTTGGACAAACAAAAAAGTGAACATCCTGTAGGTCGCATTTTCCTCTCATGCCTGGGGATATTGATACACTTGGCTCATGGATTAACCAAGTATTTTCGTTTCTATGCAGTTGGACTGAAATACAGTTATAAGCTTAACGTTTCGTGGATTCTAAGTCTCCGGGCTGAAAGCTTATGCAAAGTGTTTCATTTTCATCCATCGGAGAGTGTCTGACTCTTAGCCGTCACTTAACGCTAACAGAAAGTCGGAGAGCTGGGCCTCAACTCTGGGAACTTAAATCACGCTCCTTTCCAACAGAAAAATAACTCAGTTTCATGGGGCTGAGTACTTCTAGAGACTTCGATAGTAGCTAATTGGGCCAAAATTTTACCTGTCCGTTAGGGAACCGGAAAGTTCATTCACACAATTCCGTTACTGCATACTGTCCTGAGGCAGATTTATCCAGTCCACAACTTCATATTCTACTTTTTTATACTTTTTGATATTATCTAAATCCCAATCCCCATTATAGTTACTTTCTTTCAGATATTCCGTTTAATGTGTATAATTGGGGCAGTGAAGAAAACAATATTCCTGAGAAAGAAAATAGACTCTATTGTACTATCAACATTTGCCTTATTGATACAATAGTGACTGTTTTGTTCTCAGGAATGTGTAAAATGCTAACTATAAGCATTATATATCCTATATATAACACCCAGCAGGATGCATNTTGAGATCCAGTTTCCGAAACGACGTGTTTTTCTTAGTTATCTTAAAAACCAGGACGATGGATAAAGTCCGAAAACCCAATATCTCAATTAAGATTGTGTTTAATTTTACGTGCATTTCTCCACTCTGTGTCCGATTATACGCCCTTACGTGCCAGTCGTCATCCTTCGTGATTTCATCAGTCATGTTTGATGAATATTAGAAATTAAAAACTGAAACATATAAAATGCAAATAAAATGCGTCCACATGTCGGTTAATTTACAACAGTTCGATATAGCGAAGAGATTTATTATTTTATGTTAGGCTTACATGGATGAAATTCCCACCTCCAGTCAAAGTGAGAGTAGTCAGTAAGTTCAGATAGCAGAGGTCCAGCCAGCCCGGAGAGATGTTGCAATAATAAGAAGCTTCCTGCTTCAGGAGGAGCCGTACATCATGTTGCGAAAACCGGAACCCGGAGAGAACCTCACCGGAAACGACCGATTTGAAGGTTACTGCAAGGATCTGGCTGACCTCATTGCAAAGACACTGGGCATAAATTGTAAGTACCCAACCTGAGGAATAATTTCTCTTAAAATACTTCATTATTTCCTCTCCGACATTCACCCAAGATCTCTTACAAAACCCTCGAAACAACATACGATGCACCACGAAGGACATCACAGACTACACGTGGCTGTGGAAGTTCCTGAGTGTTTATTGCAGGTTACTCTCAGGATAACAAGTTAATCAGTCTCCCTGTTGCCTTAAGCCTTACCGACCTGCTTGTTGCTGACAACCATGTACCGTACACTGCATAAATGGGATATGTATACTACTGTTTCGTTGCTAGGCAACCATGCAGAGTGATTGTAAATTACTGTCGGACATTCCGACAATAATTTAGAATCACACCGTATGGTTAGATAGCTACAAGAGATAAATGTGGACAGAATCTGCCATCACTGGCACCAGCAGGTCTCATATGCTGCTAAGTGTAGTATCATTGCCAACGATTTTTCATCGCTCATAGAGCACATACCTGTAGTAACATGCAGATTGTTCTTTGTAAAAATATGCAATGTGATTCTAAACTATTGCCAGAAACCCCGATAAAAATGCAAAAACAGATATTTTTTATATCTAAAAATCTTATAATCCTATATTCTCCTGAAGGTAAACAACAAGTAATATGGGCTGTCATGTCACATTATTTGGTTTAAAAAACAAATTTAACTATAAGTACAAATAAATTAATATTTATTTCCTCTAGTGTACTAACTTCCATGTGTCAGTCAAGGCGATAAAGGTGTCGTGTTTTGTTTACACGAAGATAAAATTTTTGTACGTGTTAAATAGGCCTGTAGGCGAATAGTGAGTGCAGTATGAACGAGTTTTCTTTAACGAAACGTGACAACAGAAATAACTCCTTGGAGCAGTCCCTCTTGAGAAGACATTAGTCAGTCACCTAGTCAAGAAATATCTCGCTCTATTATCAAGTCGAAAAATTCACTGACGTGTGTTCAGAGTAGCCCGCAGTCTATAAGACACTTCAACGCACTTCACTTTAAGAAAAAGGCTACATGTAAAGCGAGAGGACAGAGCCAGGTATTGAAACATTTCCGACGTAACCCAACCCAGGAGATATCTTTATGACTTTTCTGAGCAAAATTCAAATAAAATTTTGACCATGTTTTGTTGCAGACGAACTCAGCATCGTGAAGGATGGCAACTACGGGGCCGAGAATCCGGACGTTAAGGGTGGCTGGGATGGCATGGTCGGAGAACTCGTGAGAAAGGTACTCTTAATTCTCCATTGTGTTCAGGGACTGCCAACAAATACGATATACATAAGAAATGAAAATTAAACACGAACTGCAAGGAAGATTAGAAAGAGAATATGGCAGCCAGTATGTGGTGGAACACTTGCACTTGTGTAAGGGTGGGAAAACTTCGTGACGTCACTCGTGTGAGTATTTTGGCCCGTAAGAAATACAATAAGCTATTTGCTTGCTCTTCTAAAGTCAATATTTCAAGCACATTGACAGATTATTCAGTTTATTAATGAGGTGTTATATACATCAGTATTTATAACTAAGCAACTGACAAATTTAAATTCTGATGTCTACCATCTGATCAAGAAAGTCCCTGCCTTTTTTGATGCAGAGGATTAATTTCGGTGTTCATTAGTCCGTATGCCAGGCCAGAAAAAATATATTCCATATACTTGAACCCTGTTAGGATCCATTATAACGCCATCTTCTGAAATATGCCTAGATCTCTTGCTTTCAGGTTTTCCTAATACAATTTTGTAGGAATTTCCTATCTCCCGTTGGCCTATGTTCTTTAATATGACCATGGGTACAAATTATAAATTTTGTGAGAAGTAACAGGCAGCCAGTTGTACAAACAACTGCCTGCCTGTCACTTCTCACACCCTCGAACCCACCCCCTTGTCTGAAATTTTTCTTCTGCGCACGCAAGGTTACTCTTGGCCTTGTTCGATGTTACGTGACACTTGATTTACTAGGAGCGACGTTCAACTGTGGGAAATTCAGGAACAAATTTCAGTGTTCATTTTTTAAGTCAATATTTAGTACATAATAATAATCTTATGGAATACTGTAATTAACGTACTTTTCGTAGTAGGCTAACATACATGCATACGGTCCTCCTCACGTGAACTTTCATCTGAAGCTACTCCCCCTACCCCTGTTGGGCGCCATTTAACTTGGAAACATTCATCTGAATTGCGCGTATATGCACGTACACACACACACACATACAGAGAAATGAGACCATAAGAAGTAAAAAGGTATTTAGACCTTGAAAATGTCAAACCGCAAACGCAACAATGTCTTCATTGATTAATTTAAAATCAACAATACATATTTCGACCTTTAAAGAGTAATCTTCAGGTGTTCGTTAAATACACAATATAATTATTGATTATAGTAGATCATTAGGTGAAAGTGAAAAGTCGTGGGAGAAATGAGTGGCATTTAATTTTTAATGGGGATGATTGTGTTGAATTTAAATCGGGAGGGCTGCATAAGAAGCAAAGCGGAGCAGTTTGGAACTTGGGAAACACATCATAATTTGTTTTTACAACGCATGCGTACAATTCCAACCCAGTTTGCTTGTCCTGGACAGCTCTGCGGCATTAAGACTGCTTGTTTAATGGAGCTCTGTTGATTTTTATACAAGATGATAGAAATAATACAGAACACATATTAACTTCCAATACTGACGTCCATAATTATATATTATGAAAACAGGCATTGAAACATCTTTGGGTAATGTTGAGACGCAGTTCCATGAAATTATGAATTATTGATACGGTTAGAATTATGTCGTTTGCAAATTTATCCGTACATATATTCTTATAATCCTTCAGTGTTTCCGAAATTATGTTCGACACTCTGCTCAACAGAGTATCGAATTTTTACTGATCCTAAGTCATGAACTAGTGAAGTCCAAAAACATTGTTTTCTTGATTTATTTCTTCTAGCAACTACAACACCTCATACCTTATATTTTGCAATGGCTATGGATGTATTTTTCGGTGTAGTATTACGACATGAAAAATCAAGTTTTCTTCGGAGAATACGACACTGCTATTGTGCCTTATCATTACTTATGAGTCTAAATGTATTTTAGTTGAGTACCTAACATTTCTGCGTACCCCCAGATTTTCTCTCAGTTATTTGAAAGCGTTTTATCACAAGGTTTGCTAAAGTCGAATGAATCACAATTTATTTTGATCATATAAATATGAGCTGTCTAAATAAGTGCAGTTCTAGAAAATTCACGAAAAGAAAACGTGATGAAATAGATGTACCTTTCAAACATTGACAATTTTTTGTGTTGTACTGAGACTGTGATATGTCTCATATTAAATTTTATTTTTATGTACTGTTTTAACAGTAATCATGCACTCTAGTCCCGTATGAAGCATGAGAATACTTGTGGTGTGTGTGTGGGGGGGGGGGTAATTTTACGATATTGTCCATATCCAGACTATATAGCATTGAATTGGGAAGTATTTGGAAGGACGCAGTCGTGTCGTAACCAAGGTACTATTTAGGAAGTCACTTGGATGTACTGAACAAATTTTTTTTCCTTGGCACTACAGCCCCAGTGGGCCTAGGCCTACCTCCATGAACTCCGTTCACTTCGGTTTTTCTAGATCTTACACTGTCCGTAGGACTCCTTGGGCGGGTGATCAGCTCGTCGCAAGGCCTCTGCCTGTACACAAACATCCATGCTCTGAGTGGGATTCGAACTCATGATCTCGGCTTTCGAGCGAGCGAAGACAGTGCATGCCGTACTGAACAAATAGCCACTATAAATCTCAGTCAGTATAGTCGGTATTGAGGCGAGATTCGAATGGAGCACCTCCCGAATACAAGTCTTAAAATGTAATTACTGCACAGGCCTTCTGGGCGGAGTTTATGTTCTACGAGAATAATCAGATCTGTACCGTATGATTGTATAAATAACTTGCAAGATGTCAAATAAAATTCGTCAAATGGGGTTCCGAGAAATGTATCAAACTATAATTCTTTCTCCTGTAGCTCTGATTTAAACTTGATAGACAGTTCGTTTCATTCTTTTCTGTACAAATCAGAACAAACCCCTATTTCACAAAATTGTGAGTCCAACTTTCGGGGCCACAATATACTACCAAAAACGTGCAAATGTTTGACTTACCAGGGACTTGATGTCAACAGACAGTATATTTCCGTCACAGTAGTTCAGCCATAACACACTGCAGTAAAATGAACACAAAAGAAACACACACTAGTATCATCAAGGCAGTTTGTCCAGGAGTGGTCGCGTAACACTTAACATTTCAGCCATTTACTAATTCTAATTTAATTGTTTCAGGCTATTAACTTATTATTATTTAGTCTTCACTGAAAAGTTAAACCAAATATTATCGTATGAAGTCTCGTCGGTACAAAATTTACTTAGACGGGTTAATGCCCGTACATGCCTAGTAACTCTTTTAAGACTCTAAAGAAATCACTGCTACATCGATGTCATGCATGTTACAGTGTCCACTAGACCGGAATGAAATGATATCCGTAACCACAGACGCTACAGACGACTAATATTCGAATGACGTCACAAGAACTTGCAAGGTGGTGTTCTTCCTTTGATAGTGCGTTCGATTATCGATACTGATCATCGATATCAATTACCAAGGGCTTTCGACTATGTTATAAAATAAATTTCAGTAATATATATAGTCTTGAACATTTTGAACCACATTTAAATTGTCTCTGTGAGTCGAAAACTGTGAAAATAGAACGCAAGGACATTCCCATATGTCACCAAGCAACTACAAGGAGAATATTTCGCCTTCAGAAGCTAATAGTTGCTCAGCTGGTGAAACAGTTTCTCTTCCTTTAGAGAATCCGAGCTTCAATCCCCTTCACAAGGGGTCACCACAAGTCCCTATCCAGGGACAATTTAACACGGTCCATATTCTCATAACCTATTGTTGGTTTTATCTATGACTGGCATGTCTAGTGGTTTATTGCCTTCATGTTATCCGAATATAATTCTGTATGCAACCTGTCTTCTTCAACCTCTCGGTTGCTGGGTACAATATTTGGACCTTAACGAAGCGATGTAACAAGAGGCTGGATAAAATTGAACAATGTCAAAATTTTCTCTTGTGCGTAATTCATTAAGCACCATTCCATGAAGACGTAGGTAGGAGTGGAAGTATATTTCCAACATTCTTGACTTCGGCAATAAATAAAGGTGACATCAGATTTACGCCCCAACCGCTTAAACCTCTGGAAAAAGACGGCGGTGTCTATTCACCAGAAGGCTGGATGGGCCCAACAGCCGGTCTGAAAATTCTTGCCCCCTCTTGGAGCTGAAAACTGAATAGTGGGGACCTTCACAACAATACGCCCCGTGAGATATTATTAAAATAATCAGAAGACTGCGAATGAGATGAACGGAGAAAGTAGCATGCACGGAAACCAAGGGAATCATATAATGAATTTTAGCTGCATTTTTCGGGTGTAGAATGGAGGCTAATATTTCAATAAATGTTGAGAAACCAGGGCAGGCGGCTTTGGCCTGGATTAACCTGGCTCGGGACGGGTCATTGGTGGGCCAGTGTGCGCATATAAATAAAATATTCATAAGAGTAATTATTGGAACAGAAACTGCGTATATCTACATTATTACTATCACAGAAGAATTGCAACTTCTGAAATTTCGGGTTTTCATAAATATTTAATTGGCAATTAGTAGTGAAAATTAATTACATTTACGTTATTTCACTTTAACGCATATGTTCTGGATTTACAGTGTTACTAATTGATTTAGTAATATTACGATCTGTTAACTATAGACAATCCGTAGCGTCGAATGATGTGGAAAGATGATAATGAATTGTGACTGGGCAAGCATTTCGAATGAAGCAGTCATGGCCTATTTATATCCACCATCACGGCGGCCTTCTGCCCGATCACAGTGGCCTCGCGGTCTAAGTCATGAATTGTCTTCGCTCGCTCGCACGCTGGGATCGTGGGTTCGAATTCCACTCAAAGCATGGGTGTCTGTGTGCATTTCTTCTGTGTTTTTGTTGTTCTGTGTGAAGGTAGCGGCCTTGCGACGAGCTGATTACCCATCCAAGGAGTCCAACCGACGGTGTACAGGATTAAAAAACTAAAAAAGCGGCCAAGGTCCAACAAAGAGCTGTATAGCCATAGATAGATAGATAGATAGATAGATAGATAGATAGATAGATAGACACATCTTGGCTCCCTACCAGAGAGATAAAGAACATGAAATACCTAAGTTATGACAGAAGAAAATCCTGCTTAGATTCGAAGAGGGTAACTTTTAAAATAATCCGAGAACATTACTGCCGCACCAGCCTGCTCGGTACAATTTCATTAGGTACATTTCAGAAAACTAAGCAAGTAAAAAGCAGTACGCCTGCCGTTTCATGTTACAGCCCAATACGGTGATATATAGGAATGCTCGACCCAAGACGACAAACCAGCACCCTCTTCTTCGTCTTTATTTACATCAGACGCTATCTGTTTTCACGCGCTGCACGACGGGTAAACCTACTTTATTCCCTGCAGGATAGAAGAGCTTTAGGTAAGTCTGTTTCCAGCAGAAGACAGGCAGCTTCTCCTTCACTGTTTGATCTTGCCGTAACTCACCAGATGTCAGGCCTTCCCAAACAAACGCAATAGAATTTACAAGCCAGTGCAAGGTCCTACCGTCAGAGTTCTCTCTTCCTCGCGACGCCTAGCGTCGGTGCTGCTCCACGAGAAGGTAGTTCCAATTCCTGTCAAGGGGTTCGATCTCACGTCCTTCGCAAGGAGGCTAGGACGATAATGACATGGCGGGGCTGCATGGGGTGGGGGAAGAGAAATGGGTAACCAACAAGAGCCACCAGACGGATGATAGTAATTTCCTGCTGAAAGCGTAAGAAAACAACTGTTGTATCGAATTCAGTTATCAGTATTTGAGAAGTACCAATCCCACTACACGATGCACCTAGAAACAGGCAACAAGTTAAACTACGTAAAGATTGCTGGTACTTAATAAATGGTTAAAAAGTTGTAAAGTTGTCCCTGTGCTTAAGTAATTAAGTACTATGCCATGAAGACGTATGGGGGAGTGGATGTAAAGGCCCCACATATTTAATAATTGGTTCTTTAATTAAATAAGGACGCTGCTTAGCTGCTTACAATGTAGAAAAAGGATCGAGTTGAATGAGAATTGAATATTATCTTGAAAGGTGAGTAGTATGGATTCAGAAACGGAGTCAATGGTCTATTTCATGTTACTATCCTGGCCTTCACCGGAAGGAACCTCAGTTAGGATGATAACGTGACCGAGCGTTGAATTGAATAAATTTCGAACATGATTTTGAAAGATCTGCAGCTGCATCAGCCCATGATTTGTGTTGTGTTAAGAATTAACTTATAAATACAGCGTTGCTAATCGGCTAAAGAAACAGTCAGTTGTGTTACAGGCCTACAGGGTCACACGAATATTATGTGTGTTAGACAGCTTCATTCAAACACTAGCAACATTGCAATGCGGCAGCAGCACGGAGATAAAATTCTGCCATAAAATTCGACTCAAGACAATTCGAACGTGCGTTATTTATGTTGAAAATATAAATCAATAAATTTGTCTGTCAGTACACTGAGACGAAGTTTTCTAGAGGAGACAGTAAACGCAACTTGCAAAACGTATCTTGTATTAATGAATTGTTTAACATCGTTGTTAGCAGATCAGACTGTACAATGTCGAATGGTAGGAACATGTGTTTGCAAATAATAGAATGGGAATAGTTTAGATGGAAGTGGTCGTGGTATAATTTGATATTTTATTCGGGTACAAGCGTATAGGCATCTAGAATAAAATTAAAATCCTCAGTCACGGCAGCTGTCCTCCTGACCGAGGTTTGAATCCCAGACATCCTACAAACTGGATATGAAACCCGCTCAATCTTAACGTTCCATAAATATAATTACTATATCAGAGATAATGGACAACGTCCAACGTAGGTCAATTACTCTATAATATACACGTATATATATATATATATATATATATATATATATATATCACTGTCACACGACTTCGTATAAAATCACTCACTCACAAAACAAAAACAGGGATCAATCATTTCGTAAGTCTCCTAGCAGATGTGCGAAGCGATACAACGTCAGCAATCACCGCCCAGTGGAAATCAACAGTTTCTAATCTTGAGTAACTGCTTCAGAAAAAAAGAAAAAAATATTACGTCATTTTCCTACCTCTTTCTCTTGCTTTCAATAATGTCTATATACCGACATTATCACAGATATTTATTGAGAAGTGCTACTGACTGAATATTATTATATTGCTTAACTAAGGTCAATGACTAAAAGAAATAAGTCACAAAATTTCAGGGATAGACACGAGCGTTACTTCATACGTACACTTTCATCGGCCGGCGACAAGAATTCGATATTGTAACGAACCTGCTTTTATGACGGGACTGCAGAAGCCCAATTACAGATTGTGGCGTTGTTACACTACACTCGGCGCTAATGTTTATGGCTCCATTCCCAGGGCACAGAGTCCCTGAGAAGCAGTCGATCAGTTATATGGAACCCAACATTGTTCAGCGATCCCTACATGGAGTCAAAGGAATCAAACCCACTCTCTCCCACACTTCTTCCTCAAGATACATTTTAATATTATGCTCCCATCTATGCCGAAGTCCCGAGTAGTTTCTTCCTCATAGATTCTTTCCTCCTTGCATGCTACATGCTACACTCATTCCAACTTTCTCTAATTATATCTGCTGAAGAGCACAAATCTCTATATTCCTCATTATGTAATTTCCATTGATCTTCTCTGCTTCTCTTCTTCCTTCCTCGGCTCTGCCTTTCTTGAATGAACGCGTGGCTTTCACTTGGCAGCCAGCAAATGGGCGGAGGGGGGACATGTCCTGCGAATTTCCTGACCAGATTAACCATTGTCGTAGTCACCTACAAATCGCAGCGAGAGGGGAGATGATCAAGCACTCCATGTCCTACTTCCATCAATGGCAACTTGATTGGGTCGTTCGCAGTAGCTTTCCGTAGTTCCACAGACTGACTGAGTGCGGCGCTGCCTGACTCACCGGCCCAGATAGCGGGGATGGTCACGCACATTACGGGGCCAAGCGAGGCCTATAGGCCATAGGGTCAATCAGATGTTACGAAACTTGTTATATGTCAGCCACTCAAGGTCCGGTTTGGATGACGGGTTCCATTTAACTATATATATATATACACGTATTATATCAAAAGTCGTCCGCTTCACTTGTACGTGAAAGACATTACTGAAGTGGATCTTACGAAAAACAGTGTGAGGTTGTGCCTTGGGTTTATTTAGCGCATGAGAGGGTTCAGTGGCAGACTGTTGTGAACACCACAAAAACCTGCTTGTTCCATAAAACGTGCCGCAGTTATTGATTAGCAGAGCAACTAGTAGCTTGTCAAGAATAACGCTACTCTACGAAAGGAGTTAGAAATGATTATCCTGCCATGTACGGCACATACAGAGTAGAAAACCAGACCGATTCTGTAAAAGTACGTACAAATAAAAAGCAAACTTATCACTGTGCACCGAGCTTGGCTTTCATTCGGGAGGTACTCGGTTCGAATCTCGGCCGGAGTACTGACTCTTCTGACAGAGGTAATTCATGTTTCCCTCAGTCCCTCCAGTCAAATACCATGAGAATATTTCCGAATTGACTGCGACCACTTCCGGACCTCCGGAACATGAAGAGAGAATACTAACTTTGTGTGTGTGTGGGTTCCTCACTCATTCCAGACAACAAACGTCACAATAAAAGTGGAACTCCCGGTGGATGCAAAAGTGAGTAAAGTTGTCTCTGTGCTCGATTAATCAATCACAACGCCATGAAGGGTAAAGGTATAGCTCCAACATTCTTGACCCCAGCACTAGATGGAGGTGAGCTGTTAGGTTCACGCCGCGGCAGCTTTGCCATCCTTTCGAGGAATCAACCCCCAAGTACCCATTCGAGGGGAGCCTGGGTTGGCCCCAGAGTCCGTTTCGACCCTGTGGAGTAAACAAAAATCTGTTGCTTCTGCCGGGAATCGGACCCAAGACCGTAGTTCGTCGATATACCGACTGATGTAGAGACATGAATTCAACAGTGCAGTCAGAGGCTTCAATCTGTTACTAACGCTAGTCTGAGCAGCCACTGACATATCTGTTTTACTTATATGTCAAGAAAGCTTTCTACACCATTCCTGTAGTACGTTGTCTGTATCTATCCAAATTTGGCAGCAGCCATGTTACGCTATATTACGTGTGATCGGAGGAATTGCTCATATGCAATTTACAATGTACAATTAAGTGTATTACAATTCACAATATTTTTGCTCCTTCACCTCTCTTATAAACAACGATACTGTAAATATCTTCCTGCCACACAAGTACTAACTGTACATCTCTTGTTTTCCATACGATATTACAGACATAACTGCTTACGCAGGAGATGATTTCCTTCAGCTGAAGCGAGATAATCTGTGTTAGACTAGAAGCTTTTCGGACTATTAGCCCTGTCAAGAAAAAGGTAAAGCTACCTCTGTAACAGGCCTCGGAGGACCACAGGGCTGTGAGACGTTCAGGCGCCCACATTTGCTAGACAATCAGCTCACAGATGACAGACAGAAAGACAGTCTCACACTCTGGCCGCCCTTTACCTCCAGGAAGATTCCTGGTATTTATTTCTGTTAGAGGCTGAGTCGACTCCAGGGCCATAGTGCTGTTGGAAGGATTAGGTCGATTCGAAAATTCAATGACATCGGGAATCGAATCCGCGACCTTCCAGCTTGTAGTATAGTGCCTCGACCAACTACGCTACCGCGTGCCCCTAGCACTCTCAATGTTCAACCTTTCAGAGATCTCCTCAGTCTCCATCATCACGGTCGATGTCTCACATATACATATACGTTTCGTTGATTTTTATACCAGTCATGATTTGAAGTACTGTACTCCACCGACGCCTGACAAATATAGGTCTGTTAGATAACGCAATAAACAGTCATTAAACTCTAAACTGATTGCAGTGCACGTTAAGTGAACAACAAATATCTAGACTTGTTCATATCCGGTGGTTATGCCTGTGGCCATGAAATCTCTCCGCAGTCTCTAGCCGACTTCTGCGTGAGGGCAATGGGCCGCCAGGGCACGGACGAAATTAGGGTGTAAACTGAAGGGGACACCTCACTGCCGACACAAAACTTTATGTCCATAACGAGGTCACCCTGCAGGACGGGTCTTTAATAATGGACATTTCAATTACCCAGTGGCACCTGCATGCAATACAAACGTACCCCTTCCCCCTCTAATTAACAGTCGTCGGCCTCTAAAATGATGATTGTTTGTCTTCCGAAACTGCACTGTCCGATTTGAAACTGCGATAAGTGATGAATTGATGTGATATCCTTTATGCATACTGCACGATACGTCTTTGTGCAGGATAGAAAACAATTCTTCCACGTTACATTTATATCGTGTGATATTCTCAAATGACACCAAATATGTTTTTTTTTTCTCTTTTCCTTGGCACTACAGCCCCAGTGGGCCTAGGCCTACCNACGATAAGTGATGAATTAATGTGATATCCTTTATGCATACTGCACGATACATCTTTGTGCAGGATAGAAAAAAATTCTTCCACGTCACATTTATATCGTGTGATATTCTCAAATGACACCAAATATTTTTTTTTTCTTTTTTCCTTGGCACTACAGCCCCAGTGGGCCTAGGCCTACCTCCATGAAGTTCTCCGTTCACTTCGGTTTTTCTAGATCTTACACATTCGGTAGGACTCCTTGGGCGGGTGATCAGCTCGTCGCAAGGCCTCTACCTGTACACAAACACAGAAAAACGCACACACACAAAATAAACATCCATGCCCTGAGTGGGATTCGAACCCACGATCCCGGTTTCCAAGCGAGCGAAGACAGTACATGCCTTAGACCGCTCGGCTACCGTGACCGGCTACCAAATATTATTACTGTTATAAAATCTAGAAAGACAAAATATACTACGAATTGAAAAGACGACAATCATATTCAAAATTTTAATCAGAAAATCTAGAAGGTAGAGATCACTTGGAAGGCTTAGGCGTGTATGAAGGGATGATATTAACATAGATTTTTAAGAAAGGTTATAATGGTACGGGCTGGATTCACCTGGCACAGGATAGGGTCCAGCGGCGGGCTTTTGTGAACACGATAATGAACCTTCGGGCTCGACTAAACATGTATGAAGCTATTAGTTTCTCGAGAAGAATATTTCTAAATGTCCTCAAGAGCGGTGTGTTCTACTTTAAGGCTGCTTGTTTACGAGTACATAGTCATATAACTGGGCGCAACTACAGAGCACTGCAATCCCACTGTTGCTTCTCCACAGGAGGCCGACATCGCCATTGCGTCTATGACAATTACGTCTGAACGGGAGCGAGTGATCGACTTCAGCAAGCCGTTCATGTCACTAGGCATCAGCATCATGATCAAGAAGCCCGTGAAGCAGAAGCCAGGCGTGTTCAGTTTCCTGAACCCTCTGTCCAAAGAAATCTGGGTGTGCGTCATTTTCTCGTACGTGGGCGTCAGCATTGTGCTCTTCATCGTGTCCAGGTTTTCGCCTTACGAGTGGCATCTGCTGCACTACGGAGAGGACCCAGGCCATCACCACTCGGGGGTTGGTGCGACATCCTCAGCGCCGAGCACTGTAGCTAATGACTTCAGCATACTCAACAGTCTCTGGTTCGCACTAGGGGCTTTCATGCAACAGGGTTGCGACATATCCCCCAGGTATTGCATGCAACATAGTGTATTATCGCTCTACACACAAGAGTAATGTCTGAATTAATTCAGTAACTTGCAGAAGTAAATTAGCAACATGTTTCGGTTGATGTGGCTACCTGCATACATAGTTTACCATGTAAAGTAACTAAAGTGACGATAAAAATTACTGTCTGAATAATTATTAATTAATATTACTCGTACTTGTTAGATATTAAAATCCCTGTCGATCATAACGGTCTTGCGGTCTGAGGCAGGAAATAACTTCTCCCGATCAGACACTGGATTCATGGGTTCGAATCCCACTCGAAGCTGGATCTTTGTCTCCTTTTATTCTATATTTGTGTTATCCTGCATAGATATTGGCATTGCGACAGTGCTGATCAACCACCCAACGAGTCCTACTGACAGTCTAAGAGATTCATCATTTCAGAACTAATTCTGAATGGGAACAGTCAGAGAGCCTAATCTGTTAAGGTACAAAAAGTAGAAGAAGAATTAAGATCCAAATATTGATGGTTTCGTCATATGAATCAATTTTTTTTTTCTGTGGCGCTACAGCCCCAATTTGGGCCTAGGCCTACCTCCATGAAACTCTCCGTTTCACTTTGGTTTACTAGATCTTAAACATTCGGTTGGACTCCTTGGGCGAGTGATCAGCTCGTCGCAAGGCCTTTACCTATAGACAAACACAGAAAAACGCACACAAACATCCATGCCCTGAGTGGGATTCGAACCCACGATCCCGGCTTCCGAGCGAGCGAAGAAAGTGCATGCCTTAGACCGCTCGGCTTCCGTGACCGGCTATATGAATCAATACGTGTCTTCAAAATAGTATTATGGAGGTTCTGATAATAACCTTAATTATTTATATTATGAAAGCCATATTCCCGTAACATGACCATCACAGATACATTAGCTTTGGCTGTAGAACTTCTTAGTCAAAGAACCGTCAAGTGCTTTAAATATTACACAGGTCCGGTATGCATCAGGAGCAGAAGGTAGTTTCAGAACACAAGATAGGGCCACCATCCCAGTGGCCGGGTGCCTGGTGAACTACTTTAGCATTCGAAAGACTCAGATTATATAACAATAATTATAACTAATCACCAGACTAAAGGTAAAGTTGTACCTGTACCTAACTAATTAAGCACTACATCATGAAGGCGTAGGGGGAGTGGATATGTATGCCCATTTTCTTGAGCTCGGCACTAGGTGGAGGTGAGTGGTTACCTTGACTCCCCGGTTGCTTTACCCCCGGGGAAAGAGACCCAGGTACCCATTGAATAGCGGAGTTTGGGTGAACCCCAGAGCCGGTCTGGACGACGTGAAGAAGAGAAAATTCACGACCCTACCGGGATTCGAACTCCGAAACCTCGGTCGTCCAGCCCGTAGCTAGTCGCTATATCGACTACTCTATCCCGGTTCACACTAATCACCAGAAGGCCCATAGTATAATTTATATTCCGCAATGGGCAGTGAGCAACAGTAACATGTCAACCTCTTCAAGGTTAAAGAAAGAGAGAAGTATAAGGTATAGCAGAGGAGTGGGTGAAAATGAAAGTCATGGGAGAAGTGAGAGACACTATATTGCCGAGAAGGGAAAGAACATCAATTTGCTAGAAGGTTCCCAGGCCTCGCCCGCTCTTCCTTCTGATAACGGTATGTAGTATCCCACCGTACAGTTGACTGAGATCTTCCAAGCCGGAGTGCGAAGTCCGATGAAGCCAAGGTAAATTTTATTTGTGGAGCTGAGGTTCACGCCGTTTAAGAGTGAAAGCTCAAGACTACAGAGCAGTTGACTATGTGAATATTTATTAAAAAGAATGAAACAAGATGAAATTTATACAACCACCAGTGATTATAAGAAGGCAAGACCAGAACCCTGCGAGCTGAAATTTTCTAAGTCCACTTCGCTGAGCTGAGTCGCATAGAGACGGCCCGCACGAAGTCTTCGAAAAGTATCCCCCCTCTCCTGTGATTACGGAGAGTTTATAAACAATTTGACATCCGGTAACTGACGTCTTACTCCCTCTAATGCACTGAGTCTTGCCTTTTACATTGTCTTAGTATGGAAAATTACAGGACATAGGTTCGGTGGACCAAGTCCACACTTGTTTACTTCATACATATATTTTTATAAATAATCAGGCGGATATTGGGCAATGTACAGGCCCCAGCATGTCTGGGGCCGGCAACATGTGGTTCGCCGTTCGTTTGATGCTACAGGTATAGTAAAAGTAAAGACCGAATGTCTCCTAAATATTGTATAAATATTCACTTCATACCTCGCAGGAAGCGCCATAAGAAAGCACCAGCCGGTTAATGCTGCTTAGGGAAATAATCGATGTTTATTGTAAGAGCCACACGAGACACAGAAGAACACTCTGTGGTGCACAATGCAGACTTTTAATTTGTTAAATCTGGCGGTACGTATAGAACCACTGGGCTTCATAAGAGTAGCACGCCTATAAGATGCACAATATTGCTATCCATAGTAATGCGTGATCAATCAAGATAAATGAGACGGGCAGGACAAGCCTTCAAGTGTAAAATGAAAAATTCATCAAAGAATTTTGGTCTTAAATCTCAAGAAAATGGGTCACTTCGGAGGTATAAGTGCAAGCAGGAGAATGTGTAAGTGGAGACTAGGCCATATCATCCTCCGTGATTTAGGGCACTCTAATAATACGTAACTTCTTTTGTAAAGAGTATATATCATGAAGTTCTTCCTTGCGTAATTTTCTGCATTCTTTTGCTACTTCCTACTACTCTCTCGTGTCCTAATATTTTTTTTTCATGCCAGACCATGTTGACTCTGAGGTTCTCACAGTTGTGGCTATGAAGAGTACGTTCTTATGGGTTGTAATGCTTTGTAGTAAGCAAAGAGAACGACGCTTAGGAGGAACAAATGGCCTCCATATCCGGTGTTCAAGAGTAAGCCAAGTAATGAACCAGCAAGCTTTTCACATCTTCTTCCTAGTTTCTTGCTTGGCCGCGCCATAGCTCAAGCGGTTAGTCGCTGACTTCCCACCGCGGCGGCTCGGGTTCGATCCCGGGTCTGGTCAAGTGGGATTTGTGGTGGACAAAGTGGCGCTGGGGCAGGTTTTCTCCGAGTGCTTCGGTTTCCCCTGCCAATCTTCATTTCACCAATTGCTCCACAATCACCCTCCCCTATCATCTGGGGCTGGTACAATAGGCCAGAATTGGCCGCAGTACAAGGGACTTAGTCCCACCCCGCTAGCAGTAAAAAAAGTAGTTTCTTGCTTGGCTTAACCTTCAACCCTTAAGATGGAGATGATATATTCCTCCGTAACGTTGGGCCTTTTCCGAACTACACGGCGTTACGATCTAAAAGAAATTTCTTTTCATTTGCTCAATACTTCGATTTTAGCCTATTTTCTTTATTCTGAAGAAATAAAAGTAGGCTTATGAAATCACTTTCTGTGTGTGTTTTTATGTGCATCCCCTCTAACAACTTTGTAATTCCTGAATCAATCTTTTTTAAACTTTACATCATGCACGTGAGCCCATCTCAACTGTGTAACTCATAAATCCCACGCATCAGTAATACCAAAATTACAGCCTCTCAACTTGCTGAGCAGTCTTAAGGTGGGTGCAATGTAACATGACGACTGAAAGTCGGCATAATGGAGCCAGAAGAGAAGAACCGTTGCTAGACGATGGCTCCGAATACTCTTTCCCACGGCAACGAATGCACACACAACAACAGAAGAACTGTTGGGCGCTGTGTTTTCTGTGCTCTGCCTGCCGAGGCCAACTCTCAATTTGTAGTGAAAGGAAAGTAGCCGATTAGTCATTCCCAGAACTTCTTGTTAAATATCTGTTTGAACAAAGTTTTAGATTGACGTATTCCTGTGTCTCTTGTCGGCAGGTCCATATCGGGACGGATCGTGGGCAGTGTGTGGTGGTTCTTCACGTTGATCCTCATCTCCTCATACACAGCCAACCTGGCGGCGTTCCTCACTGTAGAGCGTATGGTGGCGCCCATCAACTCTCCAGAGGACCTGGCGTCACAAACCGAAGTCCAGTATGGGACGTTATTCCACGGCTCAACTTGGGACTTTTTCAGGGTAAGGTTTCATTTATTTTTGTTAGTTTATTTAATAACGCTCTCCCAACTCTATACGTTATGTGTCCAAAAGGGATAACCATTGTGAAATATGAACTCTGAAGGCCTAGAAGGTAAGAGCAGCTAGTAATTCCATCGAGTGTGGTCCTTCTCGAAATTTCCATTTAAGAGATTTTCTGCCTTTTATAGAGCTCGAATTTCTTTGTCGTGTTCACAAGAGCTTACCCTTAGTCCATAGATTTAGATGATTCCAGTCAATGTCTCTCTTAATATTATTCTTCCGTCTAGGTCCAAATCTTCCAAGTGCTGCATCTGTTTGTCTATTTATGCACGCTGTTTGGGGGTGTATATAGCTGCCTACTTACCTGTCTACCCGACCGTCTATCTGCACGCCTCAGTCCCATATGATAGGTGAGGGTGACTGTGGAGCAATTGGTGGAATGAAGACTTGCAGGGGAAACAGAAGTACTCGGAGGAAACCTGCCCCAGCGCCACTTTGTCCATCACAAATCCCACTTGAACAGCCCCGGGATCGAACCCGGGCCGCTGCGATGGGAAGCCAGCGACTAACCGCTTGAGCTATGGCGCGGCCAACTATCTACCTAAGTACCTACACATTTGCGAACAAAAGTACCTACATATCACTGGACCAGTGATTGAGGCTAGCTCTTTCTAAGGGACCCAACTGAATAGGTGTTTTCCTTCACTTGAGGACGGAAACAGATCCAGTTTCCGAAACGTCGTGTTTTTATTTGTTATCTTAAAAACCAGGACGATGGATAAAGTCCAAAATCCCAACATATCAGTGTGGACTAATAGCATAGCCCACTACTCCGCACCATCTGCCACGGGAGTCAAGANCTACCTAAGTACCTACCTGCCCAGCTATCTATGTAAATAATTACCTGCCTAAGTATCTACTTACCTCTCTCTCTGTTTGTCTACGCTTCTCTTATCATTTCATATTCAACTCAAAATAAATACAAAGATGAAACTATACAGTTTTCAGGCCTGCACGGAGAACATGCTACAGCACGCATAACTGCTTTTCCTTGGCTTATTCTTCGTCCCTGAAGATGGAAATTTCGACTGCTCTCAACGGACTACACCGTGTTATATAGTATATCAAAAGTTAGAACTTCTCGTTTTCAGCCCTTCTCAGTTACCAGCCTATGAACATAGGCGCAAGCCTAGAGTACGAGGCTATTCATTTTCGTTTGACACCCACCTCTCCACCTGTGCAGCAAGGGAGATAGTATCAGTAGTTATGCTACCGCTGGATAGCCTTTAGAGGCTTCCAGTACTCGCAGGTCTCGTTAGTCACGAGTCATGGATTCATTGCTGTTCACCGTATTTCGCCTCACATCCCAGAGGTAGTCACAAACGCCAAATGCTTCAGAGATCACAACACACAATTCGAAGCAGCCACCACGTCCATGTATAATAAATGCCTCGGTCATTAAAGAGAGTGATAAATCAACCTATCTAAATCATGACGGAGTCTAATCAAGGAAATGTGTGCCCAAATCTCTGCAGTGGAAGCAAATCCTGATAATCTGTTACGAAACATTAGAGACCAATAGCATAGCCCACTACTCCGCACCATCTGCCACGGGAGTCAAGATTCCGTCGTTTTCTGCATTGAAGACTTACTTCACTGTCCAGCAAGATTAACGTAAACTGTAAAGGCCCGTCCACATTACTCGTTCTCGTGCGTCAGGAGCTTACTGCTGCCGGAAAATCAGGATCTGGAGCTGACGAAGTGGACGCCCAAACTGGTTTGCATACAAAGCCTTCGCATTTCTTCACAAGAGATATCAGATCCAGATCCTGATTTTCCGGCAGCAGCAAGCTTCTGACGCACGAGCACGAGTAAAGTGGACGCGCCTTAAGACTGAAACTTAGGCTGAACTTGAGGGACCATGCTAAATGCTTTGCTTGAATATTGTTTGCTTCTTTTGATTTGTTTCATTCTGGTCCGTCACACTAACAATTGTAAATACAAACTACTGCGTCCAATGTGACATATAAGTTTTCACTACGTTAAAACTTATCTCCCCTACATGTTTCGGTCCTTACGGACCATCTTCAGAGGGAACATCATTACAAACTGGAAACGTTCGACTTTAAGCGTACTGTGCATTATAGGATATAAGTGTATGTATTTTAAATCAAAACACCTATTGTGATGGTAGTTTCCAGTTTTAATGATGTTCCCTCTGAAGATGGCCCGTAAGGACCGAAACATGTAAGGGAGATAAGTTTTAACGTAGTGAAAATTTATATGTCACATTGTACGGAGTGGCTTGTATTTATAATTGTGTGCTTCATTTACGTAGGAAGCGTCCAACAGATGATTTATAATTTATCTACATTTATCGACTTGGGGGACATTATTAAAATAATAAAATGAAGGGAAGTGAGATGAAGGAGGCATGCAGCAAGCATGGGAGAGGTGAGAAATAAGTACGTGTACAAGATTTCAGTTGGAAAATATTAAAAGAACAGACCACTTAACAGATCCAGGAGTAAATGGGAATGTGATATTAAAATGGATCTTTAAGAAATTATGGTATGATGGGACTGGACTCATCTGGTTCTGGGGTCGGACATTTGGAGGATTCCTGTGAACGAGGTAATACGTGAAGAATTATGTCCTCTGGTATATAACACTCAACAGATTACCCGGCGTTATATCCCAGAGGACAGAACTTTTCATAACCACGGCTGTGTAATCCTCAAATCCCACACGGTATTAGGTATTCGGCTTCCGTAGAATGTTGCGAATTTGTTGGCTAACGGAGAGACTACTAACTTCTCGAAAGGATTAGTAACCATGGAGTTAGGCCAGGTTCGATCCCGGGTCTGGTCAAGTGGGATTTGTGGTAGACAAAGTGACGCTGAGGCAGGTTTTGTCCGAGTACTTCGGTTTCCCCTGCCAATCTTCACTCCACCAATTGCTCCACAATCACCCTCACCTATCATCTGGGGCTGGTACAATAGGCCAGAAGTGGCCGCAGTACAAGGGACTTAGCCCCACCCCACTAGCAATAAAAAAACTAAAAACCATGGAAGTAGTTACTATAGGATTCTGACGATGCTGTATAACACACTGATATATTGGGTTTTTGGACTTTATCCATCGTCCNCTTCGGGGTGAAAAAATTACTTCTAAATCTTGAACTGAAGAAGAAGAATACTGTTTGGAAATCCGTGGCTTCCAAATACTATAACTAAGAGTTTTTCAATATCTCTTACTTCAGTAATTGTTTTTTAACCATGGAAGCAGGTAACGTAAAGTAAAATGGATTCCGTTCTACTTCTGTCACTTTGTGTAAGCTTTGAAATGAGAAGAGAATCAACAAATATCAACAGCAACGCGGTATGGGGATTTCGTACAAATAACTGCTTGTTAGGAAAAGTGTGACTCAAGTTGTGGTCTTCTGAATTATGAGATTGTGCAGTCTGGTATGTGGGTACCGACGTTTCTGATGAACCTGTAGCCTTCATCTCCATGGCATTATGAAAACAGAAACAGTACGTTGTTCCTGAATGTTGATAATCACCTACCTCACTCCAAGCTTTCATAACTCGGTACCCTGAAAATGGAGGCAACATATTTCCTACCAAATGTTGGTAATCAAGTACCACACTACGCGGTACATAACCTAGAAAAATAAAATATGAATTTTCATCCCCGCGACAACCTTCGATCCTACATACGACAGTAAATTCTTTGTTACAGAAATCTCAGATCACCCTGTATAGCAAAATGTGGGAGTTCATGAGTTCGAGGAAGCACGTGTTTGTGCGGACTTATGATGAGGGCATCAAAAGGGTACGCACGTCCAAAGGGAAGTACGCCCTCCTCATCGAGTCGCCCAAAAACGACTATATTAACGAGAGGGAACCGTGCGACACTATGAAGGTCGGACGGAACCTTGACGCCAAAGGATTCGGAGTCGCGACGCCTCTTGGCTCTCCACTGAGGTAAGTGTCATTTTACTGCGAACAGTGTCACCTGAACAGGCTTCCAGACTGCAGTCAATCTGCAATTCATCTCACAGCGCTACTCTTATTTCAGTTTCAAGTGCTTGCTTGATTGAATTCGTTCAAACCTGTAACATATTCCAGGCCCTGCTTCAGGTAGACGAGCGCCCAAAAAAATGAAATGTCCTTGTGTTTAAGTAAGCGTCACGTCATGACGTGTAGAAAGTAGAAGTATGGCTCCACGCATTCTTAACCTCGACAACGGATAGAACGAATTATCTTGTAGACCACAATTTCATATAAATTCACGACAGAAGGTAACCACTCAAGGTAACCATCAGGTGAACAGTCTGAGACTAAACACATACCTATAATTGCATTACAGTCCCTGCTCTTTTCTGGGCACACATTCTATTGGCCACAGGTGAGGGTAAGTTTAGTTGTTAACAAAACTGAACAACACACAACTTAGAGGGATCCAAAGCGTAATTACTTTATTAACGGTTCATTGCCAAGTGCAAATTTATAGACGGTCCAATGGAAACAGAATTAATTACGAAGTGAGGAAAATATTCGTGACCTCTTCAAAAGTTGGCCCCAGAATTTGACTACAAGGATTGTGGAAACTCACAGGACTAGAATCGAAATCACAATGCGGAATGAGTATTACGTATTATGATGGGCGCTAATTAGAAAAGACTAATAAAAGCTGTTTTCTCCTCAAGATGCCTTAGTGACCCCAGCAAATGGTCGCAAAGATTTCTTCCATCCCGGGGTCTATTGAAAAATATTCTTCACCCTTTTCTAAGTTATCCCCACCACTGTCTGTCTATTACCTTTATTTCGCATTTATTTTAGTCTGGAACCGGTTATGCAGTTCTTTTTGCAGTACAGTTGTGAAACCATAAATGTGTTGCTAGTTCAGTATGATCCCATGTAATATAACGTAAAATAACTTTAAATTCTACGGTAATGCAAAATATTAATATGGGCAATTTACAAAATATTAAAGTAAGGAAAATCTGACAAGCGATAGTAAACTTGTGAGTCCTCATCTTTCCTTCTTGGATGATAATGAGGACATGTATAGTGAACTAAGAAAGCCAACATGACGGTCAAGTGGGATTTATGGTGGACAAAGTGGCGTTGGTGTGGGTTTTGCCGGTCTTCATTCCACAAAATTCTCCATCATCATAATCACCCGGGCCAAGCTACAATAGGCCAATCAGTGGCCGCCTTGCCGAGTGAACCCAGTTGGACTCCACCCCACACTAAGCGAATTGAAACAA